AAAGTAGAAGTACTCAGATCTAGTACTTGAGTAAAAGTAGAAGTACTCAGATCTGGTACTTGAGTAAAAGTAGAAGAACTCAGATCTTGTTCTTGAGTAAAAGTAGAAGTACCAGAGTGTACTGTAGGGAATACTCGGTTACAGTAAAAGTCCTGCATTCAAAATGTTCCTCAACCAGAAAAGTATTATCATCAAAATATAGTGAAAGTAGCGACAGTAAAAGTAGTCATTGTGCAGATTGGTCCATTTCAGAATATTAGATATATTATTTGTGTTATAAGTGATTGATCATTAAAGTGTTATCAAAGCTGGATGTTTAGTATGTTCGATAGTGTTTTCTGACTTTTGTATATTTTTACATTGTGCATTTCTACATAAATACCCCATAGATATAGATATCTTTCTGTATATGTGTGTATTTAGTGTGCAATGCCTGTTTCCATGCTATAACAAAGAAAACGTTCCCAAGATTTGGATCGCGAGCCCTGAATCTTGAGTCGTGGCTGTGGTCCTGGATCATAGGTCCTGGATGGATATCCTCGTGGATTCATCTTCCTATTATACACACATGCATTTCCAAACATTTGGACTACCTATGTTGCAAATGTATTATCTTTTCAATTTACACACGGCATCTATTGCACGTCTGTCCGTCCTGGGAGAGGGATCCCTCCTCTGTTGCTCTCCCTGAGGTTTCTCCCATGTTTCCCTTTAAACTGTGGGTTTTCTCCGGAAGTTTTTCCTTGTACGATGTGAGGGTCTAAGGACAGAGGGTGTCGTATTGTCATACTGATATTTTGTACAAACTGTAAAGTCCACTGAGACAAATGTAACATTTGTGATATTGGGGCTATATAAATAAACATTGATTGATTGATTGATTGATTTAAAAAAGTATATCTGATCTAATATCAAGTATCTACAGTAAATGCTCTTGGGGACATTGCAGCACTAAAGGCGTGTTTGTCGTCCAGAACAAAGACAATCCACAAGTGTTCTTACCGTTCAGAGAGGTACTCCTCTCCTCCCTCTTCCTCCTCAGGTAACTGCTCTCAGGTGAGACACTGAAGCACGTGCACTCACACAGCTCCCTGAAGATGGGTTTTCTTTTCCGCTCAAACTCTCTGCAGACTTTCCTCAGATGGAAGTTGAATTCTTCCAGAAGTCTGGAGCAATCCTCACAGAAACCCGAAGCCATGACCGTTTCTCCTGCAGAGAAGAAAGAAGGCACCTGTGCCGCGTGACGCAGAGCTGCAGGGAGACACGCCCACTGTGACGTCAGGTCTCAAAATACATATATGAACAAATGAAAAACAGATATTAAAATATAAAATAAAAAGATGTTCGTAGTGATGGGAATTACGGCTTTTTGAAAGGAGCCGGATCTTGGTTTTTTTAAGGGGGCGGGGTTAATAGGTTTATCTGCGAAATAATCACCAGGATAATGATTGACTGTTTTGCCAGAAATCTAATTTTACTCACAGAACATGTATAACTTGCTTAATCTCTCATCCAGCCAAACTACTACTCAAGCAGCATGCGTTATGCCATCATCTATGGAAAATGTGCATTCAGGAAAGTTCCTTTAAAGCAGTGGCGGTTCTAGACCAATTTGACTGGGGGGGCCAGGCTGGGGCCAGTTATTTTCTGAGGGGGGCCCAATAAATGCAGGACGAAAAAGACAGTATGAAGTAATTGCGCATAAGAAAACAAAACAATACAGTTATTGGTATTTGTTTCATTACACATATTTATTTCAGATATTTATAGTTACAGTTTTTACGCTCTAATGCAGGGGTCTCCAACCTTTTTTAGGATGAGAGCTACTTTCAAAATATAAAACAAGTCGTGAGCTTGTCATCAATTGTCATCATTTATATTCTCTGTAATTTGTCACATGGCTATTTGACAGATGTACGTGAAGAAACAGAAATCAACCTCATAGACACATTTCTGAATTAAACTGCTGCTTATTTAAACACAAGATATCTACAAATACTACACTTACTTGTACAGCTATAATTACCTTTAGGTGAATTAGAAATGTATGTTAGGCCCAGATCTAGGGGAACCTAGGCGCAGCAATAAAAAATGTCTAAAACTTGCCTAACCAAAAGGAATAAAGTACAGGCTTCTCACCTACTCTTATCAGTAAACAAAAAGAACAGGTTCAAACAAAAAGAGGGTTTCTCACTCCTAAACAAAGCGTGTCCTCGAGACAGGTCGAATTAGCTTAGCAATGTACACAAAGGGTTCGGTAAACGGTCACTTTAATAACACAGGCAACAGACCAGCTCTTCTACTGACATAGAGTTGGGAGTAGGAGAGGTCGAGTGAAAGAGAAGTTAGAAGTTAAACTGATAACGTATACTGCTATAACGTGATGTTTGACTGGAAACGAGATCAAAGGAGAACTGACAGCTTTGATTCTTAGTTTGGTTGATGTCATGAAGTTTCAGCACGATATACAGACTTCTTACATTTCTTCAAGAATTCACACAAAACTTAATCAAACATTCTCATTTCATCCATTACAAAGAAAAACAGAAAATAAATTCATCCATTCAAAGATTCTTGGATTTAAAAATGTGAACATTCATCGATCATTAAATGAGTCAAATGAAAACTATAAACACACTGTAATAAGTTTGATGCAAAATAAACTCAATAAACAATCAAGTTGTTTGTTGTCTTTGACTGACTCTTTGATTATAATGCGTAAAAATGTCATGCAAAGATTAATATCTCATCATCTGTTGATTATTTTCTTGAATGTTCCAAAGAGATGTAGACGGAGAGTGAAGTCAGAATAAAGTCTGAACCAACACTCCTGAGCATCACAGAGGAATCTCACGTCGACAGATTTTCATACACTCAAAAAAAAGGACTTTGGCTGGCTGTTACATCAAATAAAATGTAACATGTATTTTCAACGTAATAATTTCATGTTTCCAAGATGAACGTGATGAAAACATGTATGGTTTGCATGAATCGCAACAACTTCACATTTATTAGATTCATTCATGTTGAGATAAACTGACACAAAGGGATTAGGGTACATATGATTCCCACTCCAGAGCAGAAGGTGGCGGTATAACCACCAATAAACTGGATACCAACAGTCTATTACTTTTAAATGTTCACGGTTGTAAGATGTGAAACAACAAACACGGCTTGAACAATAAGGCACGCTACATTCTTGACTGCTCTTGGACACTTCCATGGATGACTTCCAGACTCTGCCATTGTTTGATTTTGACCGCGATCTGGCGGGAAAGGTTTTCCCCTGCATCCTGTGTGCACTCGCGATATTTGGGCATAACCGTAAACTTAACCATCATCATCGCGAGAGAGGATCATTGAGACAAGAAAGACCGTTGGCGAAAGTTGGAGGAGGTAAGCAGAACACATTGTCATCTAACTGTGAAGCTGTTAATAAATGTCATCAACTGCTAGTCCATGAGCGATATTGTGGTAACGTTGATAGTTAATTTGTTATTTAGTTTCATTTTTTATCTCACTTAAAAAGCCGACGAACATGCTAAAGCTAACGTTGTTAACTAGCTAGTCTGTGTAACTGCCAGTTAGGGAGATGGTTCAAATATAGGATATCAGGATTGAAAACTAAAGTACGGTAGCATTACCCTGGGAAAGTTAAACGGAAAGTGTGCTACCCCAGGCGCTCATATATGTCAGTAATATCAGCCCCTTTTACAAAGGCATGTTGCGCCGTTATTCGGCTGCGTCACGTAAATTAGCTGCCAAGCTAGCTGCCATGCGGAGCTGACTGCCACTGTGGTTTCGCAGTTTACACACGCGGCTGCTACATGCAACACACACACACACACACACACACACACACACACACACACACACACACACACACACACAACACACACACACACACACACACACACACACCACACACACACACACACACCACACACGGCAGAGAGCAATTTGTCTAAACATCTTGAAAAGTACACCACCTCAGACAGAAATGCACCGTCTTTTAAATTGAAGAACTCTGTTGAATTGGTTTGGATATGACTAAGTAATGCGTCAACTTCTGTCTGATAAGGGCACTGATAAGGTTCTGTGTAAAAAAAAGTAGATGTAATGATGAGTCTTAATTTACAGCAATATTGCGAGTTCTCTGTGTAACTTAACTTTCATGTATGTTGATTGGTCTCTCAATTTTTCACAGCAATTTGTGACTGCAAAAGTTCCTGTGGCGGCTGTCCGACCGCAAGAGTGTCCTGTCTAACCGTACCTGTGTCTGCAATCCAACTTCATCAGTGAGGTAAAAGGTGTCATCTGCCATTCTCAAGTTCATGATTGAAATGTTTTTTTTATTTTTTGCTGGTGATTTTGTTTTGGTGGGCAAATGTGGAGGTGTAAGGAGTGTAGTGAATCTCTTTCTGGTAGATATGAGTTACTAAAGCATTTTAGACTACAGCACCGGCATAGGCAACGCTATCCATGCCCACACACAAACTGCCCATGTACATTTAAGACATGGAATGCTTTGCACATTCATTTAAATAGAGCCCATCCCAAACAAAACTCTCAGGAGCAGCTGGAGTTGTCAATATTCAGTTGTCATTTGTGCACTTCAAGCGATCTTCCTACGGAGAGGGATTATTTTGTACACATTGGAACTCATTTTAAGAGTCATGAGACTGTTCCTTGTATGTTTGTGGGTTGCAGTTTTGAAACAAATATATACGCAACATTTCACTCTCACAAAAACAGGAAACACAAACCGCATACGTTGAAAGATTTCAAGCCAGGTGTAGTTAGAACCACTCTAGTTGCACAAGAATCCTCTGATAATCCTGTGGAATACGCACATAATCAAGATGACTCTGCAGTTGAAGTACACAGTGCTTGTTCAAGTAGTGATGTGGATGTAACTCAGAACTCTTCCAAAGTAATTGAGAAAAACTTTGCTGTTTCGTTGCTCAAATTAGAGCATTTTGCACATGTGCCGGGTACAAAAATTGATGAGTTTTTGGAAGAACTGCACTACTTAAGTTCAGCAACATTGCCCCTCTCCATTGACATTCTTGAAGGTGTATTTCAGAAACATAGTCCCACAACTGATAAGTCTGTGATAACAGAAGTAGCCACTGCTCTCTGCGCATCAAACCCTTTGCTCAAAGCCATAGGGAAGGGTGGTCCCCTAAGGACATCTTATCTCCGCAATCAGTATTACAAAGACAGCTTTAATGTTGTAGAACCCATAGAGTACATACTTGATGCCAAGGAAAAAATGAGTTTTCAGTATGTGCCTGTACTCAAGTCTTTGCAGCAGCTCTTTCAGAGGAAAGATGTTGTAGACAAAGTGGTTGAAAACCACAGAGTGCAGCAGAGTAATAGGGGGACTGGTGAACAACAGACTTACAAATCTTCCCAGGATGGTTCACACTTCAAGGAAAACGGTTTTCTATCAGGGGATGACTTGAGAATTTTGTTGACTATATACATAGATGACTTTGAGATTTGCAATCCTCTGGGTACTTCTCGCAAGAAGCATAAGCTTTGTGGAATCTACTGGACTTTGAGTAATTTGCCTCCAGGCTCACATTCATCACTATCCTCGATTTACCTGGCGGTCTTGTGTAAAACTGATGATGTGAAGAAGTATGGTTATGACCGTGTCTTACATCCTCTTCTTCATGATATGATAACTCTAGAACAAGTTGGTGTTTTCATTCCATTGCTTGGCAGATGTCTTAAAGGCACCATTCAGGTTGTTGCGGCAGACAACCTGGGAGCTCACAGTATAGCTGGTTTCAATGAGAGCTTTTCTGGTGGATATTAGGGGTGTAACGGTACACGTACCCGTACCGAAATTATTCGGTACGGGCCCTTCGGTTCGGTACAGGTGTGTACCGAAGTGTACCGAACGAATATAACGTTAAACGTAAAAAAATTGAGAACGTGAATAACTTTTTGGAAGTAATCTCAGGTGCTGCGTCGCAGCATTCAGAGTAATTTGCTCACATTGGGTTCAACGCGTCATAGAGCGAGCAAGTCATTTCATTGGATGAGAGGCATACTATGAGAGCTGGTCAGAGGGATGCGTTCAAATGTAGTCAGTAATTTGAGGAACTGTCGAAATGGCGAACGCAGATAAAGTTGAGCTCGAAAATCCCTCCAGCATCATTGAAGTCTCCGGTTTGGGAACATTTTGGTTTCGCAGTTACGTACAAGGATGACGGACAAAGACAGGTGGACCGAACCAAAGCTGTTTGTCGGCATGGTTGGTTACGCGGCTGGCAATATATCAAACTTGCACACTCTTGAAAAGGCATCACCCGAACGTGAATATCACCGGTAGCTAGTGCTGTAGCGACGCGTCGACGACGTCGACTTCAAAATATCGTCGACGACATATTTCCGCGTTGACGCGTCGCTACACACACGTGGGTCACCCAAAGCAACAAGCAGTTCGCAATCGCACTTCAAACACAATGGAGACTGAAACGGCTACCACCTCCTCCTCACAGGATTGCGCACGAAGCCCCCAAACGAAAACATCTCGCCCTAGGTCTTCAAAAGCATGGGAATATTTTAAAGTTAGTCCAAAACGCAAAGATATTTATATATTTATATCTCACTGAGACTGCTGCATAGCCTAGCAGAAGCAGCAGCTAGCTGTGGTGGCTACCATTAGCAGCTAGCATTTGCTCTCCGATTTTTACATAAAATGGAATTATGGATTATAAATTCAATCGTTTTTTTATACATAGACGTTAAAAACCTATGGATTAACCGATTCAGCCGCGTTTTTTCTCATTTTAATGCCATTGAATACGTCTTTTGATCAGATTGACAGCTACGGTGGTGAGACGATCTCCCTAGAAGCTCTGTGAAGGTACGTGTTGTGATGACTGTATTTGCTTCCCCTGTCGCGAGTCCGGATCACTCAGTGATGATACTATATACCTACATAATCTGTGGAGTCTCAGCTTTAATCGGATATATTGTATGTGCAGCTACGATAAGTAATAAGGGTACTTTTATCTTGAGTTCTGTGCCAATGTCCGTTAGCATTTTTCGCTCAGGGGTCATTTAGATGCTTCTTATGAGACTTGTGTTTTGTTTTGGTAAACATGGTTTGTATCGTCAGTTAGCTGAGATTATTTCCGTTAATCTGGTATAACACACAGTGCATGACATTAAGGATTTTGGGAGATGGCCCTGTGGGCCATCTAAGCTAATTTACAGATGGCCCTGAGCCCAATAGAGATTGCCCTGAAAAATGCTCGCGGACGAAATGACGCACGAAAGGTTTGGGGGGCCTCCCCCTATAGAACATTTAGATTTTTGCAGGTCTTAGATGCTGTCTGGTGCATTCTCTAGACTGAATTATAAGATGAACCACCACAATATTATATTGTTCAATTGTATTCTTCATTTCACTTGTTTGTTTGTTCTTGTTTGTGTTTGCTCGCTTGCATGACCTGCATAGCTATAAGAAATACTTAAGTTGTTGATCAAGACACTTTCCATCTGATGAAGGCAAATGGCTTCCCAGATGTAAAAAAGTAGAAAACATTACATTCAGTTATAACCGCCCAAACAAACATTATTTACACTATTAAAAATGTTTGTAATGTTATCTACTGTAAGTTGGTCGAACGAATGCCTCCTCATCCGGAAGCTGACCGAGCAGCAGTCGAGAGGAGCCGAGCGCATCCGCGAAGCACACAAAATGGGACGTCAGAGTTCCCGTTAGCCGGCAAATCTAAATCTCTTCGGTCAAAATAATTTCCCTTTAGCGCAATACCGCTTCAGTTGCGCCACTTATGTGACAGACAAGAAGAGTATGTGACAGACAAGAATAGTCCATTCTAATGTCTAACATGTGGAGAAAGAGATGTCCTGTATGGGTTGATTGTGCGTTGATCTGTTGGTAATGCCTCGGGGTTCCGGTGGGCATGTAAACAAATGCATAACGCTGTGCTATACTTTGCGGCCTCACCCGGTTGCATAGCGACACTTATTGTTTAGGTGTCTTTTAATAAGCAGGTAGGCATATCATCTAGAACTAGCTGGATCTGATCGATATGGACATAAACGCGAGTGAAGCCTAATCTGACGGGAGAGAGAGATCAGCTGCTGCTGACGAGTTGATACGCAGCTCTGCATAATCACCTGCAGCGGTGAGCGGAACAAAACACACACTTCAGGTTAGAATATCACACGTAGCTATTTTAATTACCTCTCAAACTACCTAAACTAGTTATAGATATGTTTAGTTTGACTGTGGGGTCACTCATTACTGACCCATGAGCTGCATGATAGATTGCCCGGTCGGGCAACCAGCAGGTGAGGCTCCATTGCCCGAGCTAAATACTAGATGGCCCCAGGCCATCGGGCAGTCCTTAATGTCGAGCCCTGACACATTAATAGGTTCTTAAATATTAAGATCCCCTGAGACACAGTATCGTGAAAAAAAAATTGTTTACATTACGTTTTTTTTACATTACGTTTTTTATGAATTGAACAACAGAAAAATAATCGTTAGATTAGTCGACTAATCGATCAAATAATCGCCCGATTAATCGTTTTCAAAATAATCGTTTCCCCCCAGCACTACCGGTAGCAAAAGAAAAAAGACTGAAGTGCAAACCCAACTCCCACTAGCATTTAAGCCTCCACCACTCGCAGAGAGTTCAGACCGAGCCAAAGCTATTACAAACGCCAAATATCCTTATGTTGCCATGTTAGCAAAGCGCTACCTGGCTGTTTCTGCTACCTCTGTCCCTAGAGAGGGTGTTCTCCACAGCAGGAGACATTGTTAGTGCCAGCAGATCTGCCCTTTCGGCAAGCAATGTGGACAAGTTCATCTTTCTTTAAAAAAACATGAAAATACAATGACAAGCAAGTCATAATGTCAAACTGGCTGCTTAGGTACTAGTACAGTACAGTTCAAATACAGATTATTTCAGTTCATCGAAATGCTGCACCTTAATGTTCATTTTATTATATTTTGTATTTATTTGAGTGAATATTCACAGTTTAATAATAATTAAAAACACAAAACTAATAGTTTATGTTTTGTGAGTACTAGTACAGTAAAGTTCAAATACAGATTATTTCAGTTCATCGAAATGCTGCACCTTAATGTTTATTTTATTATATTTTGTATTTATTTGAGTGAATACATTATTCACAGTTTAATAATAATAATAAAAAATATATATATATGTTTTGTTTTGTGAAAAAAAAATTCTGCTGTACCGAACCGAACCGTGACCAAAAAACCGAGGTACGTACCGAACCGAAATGTTTGTGAACCGTTACACCCCTAGTGGATATATCTGCCGATTTTGCACAGCAACAAGTACAGACATTCAAACAAAAGAGGGAAAGTCAGGTGCATTCAGTAAGGACAAAAGAACTCCATGACTCTCATGTGAAATCAGCGCAGGAGAATGGGGCAAGCTGTTTTGGGGTGAAAAGACATTGTTCCATCACTCAATCTCTTGACCACTTCAGTATTCACACGGGTTATCCTCCAGATATTATGCATGATATTTTTGAGGGGTTAGTGCCAGTAGAGCTTGCACGTTGTTTGGCATTGCTAATATCTAAGAAATATTTCAATCTTGAAACCCTCAACAAATCTATCCTGCAGTTCCCTTATAAGTGGGCAGACAAAACAAACAGGCCACATGTGATCCCACACACATTTTCTAAAAGAAAAACAATAGGTGGGAATGCCCATGAAAATTGGGCTCTGTTGAGACTACTCCCATTCATAATTGGGCATCTGGTGCCTGAGGGTGAAATTGCATGGCAAATACTGTTGGACTTAAAAGACATTGCAGAGCTTGTGGTTGCTCCAAGACAAACAGATGAGTCAATTGCCTATCTTGAGGGCAAGATTTCAGAGCACAGACAAAAGTACCAAGAACTCTTCCCTGATGTGCGACTGCTACCAAAGCATCATTATCTGGAGCACTATCCACAACTGATCAGGATGTTTGGTCCTCTTGTGGGCCTCTGGACCATGCGTTTTGAGGCCAAGCACAGTTTTTTTTAAGCAGGTTGCGCGACACACCAATTGCTTTAAAAATGTGCCCCTCTCGCTAGCTACTAAGCATCAGCTAATGATTTCCTATCAACTGGTATCATCCAGTTTTGATGAAGCTGCCCTGGAAATCACAAAGGTCTCAACAGTGCCTTTGGATGTATTGAAACAAGAAATAGCTCAGACTATTGCCCAGAACTTCCCTGGTACAACTGAAGTTCACTTAACAATAGTGCTGTAGCGACGCGTCGACGATGTCGACGCGTCGACTTCAAAATATCGTCGACGACATATTTCCGCGTCGACGCGTCGCTACACACACGTGGGTCACCCAAAGCAACAAGCAGTTCGCAATCGCACTTCAAACACAATGGAGACTGAAACGGCTACCACCTCCTCCTCACAGGATTGCGCACGAAGCCCCCAAACGAAAACATCTCGCCCTAGGTCTTCAAAAGCATGGGAATATTTTAAAGTTAGTCCAAAACGCAAAGATATTTATATATTTATATCTCACTTAGACTGCTGCATAGCCTAGCAGAAGCAGCAGCTAGCTGTGGTGGCTACCATTAGCAGCTAGCATTTGCTCTCCGATTTTTTACATAAAATGGAATTATGGATTATAAATTCAATCATTTTTTTATACATAGACGTAAAAAACCTATGGATTAACCGATTCAGCCGCGTTTTTTCTCATTTTAATGCCATTGAACACGTATTTTGATCAGATTGACAGCTACGGCGGTGAGACGATCTCCCTAGAAGCTCTGTGAAGGTACGTGTTGTGATGACTGTATTTGCTTCCCCTGTCGCGAGTCCGGATCACTCAGTGATGATACTATATACCTACATAATCTGTGGAGTCTCAGCTTTAATCGGATATCTTGTATGTGCAGCTACGATAAGTAATAAGGGTACTTTTATCTTGAGATCTGTGCCAATGTCCGTTAGCATTTTTCGCTCAGGGGTCATTTAGATGCTTCTTATGAGACTTGTGTTTTGTTTTGGTAAACATGGTTTGTATCGTCAGTTAGCTGAGATTATTTCCGTTAATCTGATATAACACATTAATAGGTTCTTAAATATTAAGATCCCCTGAGACACAGTATCGTGAAAAATTTTTTTTTTACATTACGTTTTTTATGAAATGAACAACAGAAAAATAATCGTTCGATTAGTCGACTAATCGATCAAATAATCGCCCGATTAATCGTTTTCAAAATAATCGTTTCCCCCCAGCACTACTTAACAAAGTGTGTGTCAAGCAAAGGGGTAACATTCAGAAATGGGATGATAGTTGCTCATGGGTCTACAAGTGGACTGCCTGACTTTGGAGAGATTCTTCAGATTTGCATTGTACAGGAGAGACTATGTTTCATGGTGTTACGGACGACAGTCCTCTGCTCTGTTAACTGTGTGTGTGTATGCAAATGAGCTGCGAAGCTCCTTAGGTGACATTGGCTGTCCCGCCCCCGGACTGAAGAGCCGATTGGATTGACGTCCTCCAACCCCTCTTCAGCGTTCGGCGCACCTTCCGGAGGAGGACCGTAAAGTCAGCGGCCACACTTCATTCGGGAGGGTCTGCTGTGTAGAGCAGACGCCTCAACTGGGTTACCGTGACTTTGTAGCGCTACGAGCTAACTGTGTTCCTGACTGCTGTCAGAGTGTGTAGATTAGTGTGTTAGTTTAGTGTGTATATTCAGTGTGTTCTGTGTGTGTTAGGTTGTACTCTGCTGAGCCCGCATATGCTCCGGAAGCTGTTTTTGGAACAGCCCCTCTTTAATTTGCGTTGTTGTAAAACTCCCCTTTTATACATAGTCAGGCTCCGTTTTGTTAGAGTCCTCCTTTTGTTTAGTCCTTTGTTGGACTTGCGCCGTTTTGGCTTTTGTTTATAGGTGGCCGTGTGCTCGCACCTCATATTGTTTACCGTGAAAATAAACCTCCTATAATTATTTACCAAATCCAACTGGTGTGTGCGTCGTTCCTCTCTTCCCCCTTGAGAGGGCGTAACACATGGTGAGAAGGCTTTATGGGTGGTATAGGGAGCATTTCAGAGCCTTTGAGCTGAGTCCAACAAGAGAAACTGTTTTGATTGAGCTTGAGGAACTGGCAGATGACTATCCTTTGGCAGACTACTTTGTTGGACCTCTCAGAATGGTGACATTAAAAAGACACAGACATATGAGGTAACCAACAGATTTAACATTGAATGGTTATTTTGTCCTCTCATTGCTCTGTTGAAATTAAGATTAACCCTTGTGCATCCCTTGAAAAAAAAGTTCTGTATAACATGTAGGCTAATTTTGTCATCCCTCTTTCACAGACGGCCGTGGCATGGCTACTCCAGTGAAGCTCAGAAGCATTTTAGGAGAAAACAGTTCCCAGAGATTGATCCTTCCAGATGGGATTCCAGAAGCTGTCACTGAACTCACAGCAAATTAAGAGGCAGTGTGGAATAGAAGGGGAATTCAGGCTCCAATTCATGGATGCTGAGTTTGGGAATGAATTCACCAACTTGCTGTCAACATCAGATGTCCAGGACAGAAGTTCCATCAAGGTCATCTTTACATCAGTTGCACCTGCACAGCCTGTTGTCTCCCTGCCCCCTCCCTACTCAGCTGCTGCCACTTCCCGCTGTCTAAATGACTCCTTATCTCTCTCATCTGGAAGCTCCGTCAATACTGACATACTGTCTTCTCCTGAGTCCACGTCAAGATCATCTGGATGGCCCCCTGTCTTCATTGTGCCCCGGTTCTCTTACGACACTGAACTACAGCTGGACAGGGCCAACGCTACTTTCAAAACGGACGGAACATTGTTGAGTCCTGACAACAAACTTAAATCTGCCATTCTTGATGGCTTAGCTGAGAAGATTATAGAGTACAAAGTCTACCTCTCTGACAGTGAGTTTGAGGAGGTAGCAAAAGCTCTTGTCTCATCACATCCATGTTTGAAAGAACCCGGTTCTTTCACTGGATATGGCGGATGGAAGACGAGCTTGAAATATAAACTTGCTAACTACCGAACAAAGCTTAGGCGGCTTGGATGCCCCGAAGTTGTAGTAAATGCCCTAAAACACAAACCTGATGGCAAATACAGTCCTGCCTATGGTGTGAAAAAGCCGAAAAAAGCAGAGGTGACCCACCTACCCATCCGGGGAAACGGCAGAGACGCTTGAAAAGTTAAGAGTGACCCTTCTCTCAGAAGTAATACAAAGGAATAATGAGGACAAGGTGGCAACATTGATGGAAAATACCTTTGCATGCAGAAGGCAAGAGGTTGTTCGGCAGGCACCATTGATAGCCGATTTCAAAACCAGGTGGCCGGCTCTCTTCCATGTGCGTGAGGTAAGTGAATGAATGTGTGAAGGAACGTCCCCTTTTTACTTTTATTGGGATATATATAGTAGACAATGAATGCTTACGGACTGCACAGTATGTGCCATATAAAAGACATATTGACAAATTCTGAATTTTGTGGCATTTGTATGCAGGAATCATAAATAAATACATGATTTATGCAATTGCATGTCTTAAACGGACTGAACTGCTAAATCAAACCTGTGAACAGTGACATCAAAATAGCCAATCTGAGTTTTGTGGGTTTTGTTTTTTTGTTGTAGGTGAATGCAGAATTTAAGAGAATCACAACAATTAATTTGCAATCCAAGTTCTTCTCTTCGCTGGATATTCACTCTACAAGCCTGATCGACGTGTATACCAAGAAAGGTGGAGTTCAAGGGAAGAAGATCAAAAGCATCATGCTTCCCATAACCCAGGTATGAAAACAATGTAAAGGTGACAAAGAAACTGTAGGAGCTGTACAAAGTCTAGGATGTTCCATGAATAGCATAGCATCCGGAGCATTATGTTTTCGATATTTTTTTGATACTTAGCACCACATCCATTCCCCCAGTGGGGGTCATTGTATCAGAGTGAGCGGCATACTATTATGAAGGCCTAAAATAACGCACTACAAAGCTGTCCAGCAGTCTTTCATGGAAATGGCAGATGTTCCTACCCCAATGGTCAGAGTGTACTGTAGGGCTGCAGCTATCAGTTATTTTAGTAATCGAGTATTCTATCAATTATTCCATTGATTAATCGAGTAATTGGAAACAGATTACCTTTTTAAAGCAAAAGTATTTCTTCAATAAAAAGCCATTTTAAATATTCAAAATAAGACTAATTGTTTTCCTTTTTTAGAAAAATGTATTGCTTAAATTGCATAGTATATTATCTGTCCAAACTAAATCCATTTAATTAAAGTGCAATATTACATTCAGGGCTTTAAAGAAAACATTTGTGAAACGGTGAAACCCAGACTGCTTGTTGTTCTTAATGGGCTTTTTTATTGCATGTTCTCTGACCTGCATACTTAGACTGACAGCATTGACGTGAGACGCGAATGCATCCTCAAAGGTCTTTGTGTCTACTTCAATGAAGATCCAGAGAAGCTGGTGAAGGAATACATGGTATGTTGATGTAGCTTTTTTATCTTCACAAAGAGGAGGATGATCATAGTTGGAATGGATTGTGTTTCTTCTAAAACTAACCCTTAGGGAAATGTTGCCTTTACATTTTGATGATGTTGGATGTGTTCATGCTTTTGGAAACAGTGTTTTTTGTTCTTTCTTTTTTTTCAATTTTGAAAACCCAAACTACATAAAACTCAATATGACAGATTATAGAAATGGGATGTAATGCACATCAGTGAAAATCACTCTCCTTATTTGTTTTTCACAGAGCATCGACAACAGCAGTCAAACGGCAATGGCAGAGACGGTCTTCGGAATATTTGTCATTCGACACGAAGGTGCAGAGCCTGGGGATGACCCCGAGAACGTTGGGATCATTCTGGAGGGGGTCGAAGTGCTGGATGAGTTGGGAAACGTATCTTTTGCGGTGGCGATGATGTTTGCTCTCGTGTATGCTCTAAACTTGAGCTACCCTCCAGAGCTGAAGTTTACATTTGAAGCACTGCAGAAAATAATGATGGAACTAGATGGAAACAGACTATCCACAAAAGGACAAGTCCTCAAAACATTGCTTTCCCGTGCCTAATGTCACTGTTTGGGATCGCCTCATCTTCCAAACACGCAGCCATCAGAGATTCGGTGACTCACCTCTTTGACAGAAATGTTGATTATATGCAAGAAGTATAAAAGTAAGCATTCAAAGTTGGCTGTAGCATGGTTACGTGGACCTCACTGAGCAGAGGGCTGTGCGAGGAGGCAGATGTTACCATGTTGCCTTATTTGGTCTACTGTCGAAACTCAAGTTTGTTATACTGTTCACCCTAAAGTTGAAACATTTTAATATTTGGGAAGAAACTGTGTTTTTTCAAGCATCTGTCAGTGTAAAGCTATTTTGTGAAATATATATTCACTGTTATATTTAATATCTGTCAGTGTAAAGCATTGTTTATCTTTGCCTATTTTGTGAAATATATATTCACTGTTATATTTCATACAGTGAAACCCAGTCTGCTTGTTGGTTGAGATGGTGTTCTTAATGGTCTTTTTGTATTGCATGTTCTCTAATCTGCATACTTAGACATCTTGCGTTTGTGTTATATTTCCACCCTTGAAGCTCACTAGACTGTTGAATTTCTGTTACTGTTCACTCTAAACGTTTTAAATGTGTAAACACTCAAAAGTTATTCTTTGAATGAACTTGATTAAATCATGGACAGTATTTCCACATGATGAAATGGCTTTCTTTCAGCTTTAAGCAATTACGTTGACCCAACCCAGGTAAATCAAGTTCGTAACAAACCTTATACATAAGTAGTATCAATCCTAATAGATTACGTTGACCCAACCCAGGTAAATCAAGTTCGTAACAAACCTTATACATAAGTAGTATCAATCCTAATAGATTACGTTGACCCAACTCAAGTAAATCAAGTTGGTAACAAACCTTATACATAAGTAGTATCAATCCTAATAGATTACGTTGACCCAACCCAAGTAAATTAAGTTGGTAACAAACCTTATAAATAAGTAGTATCAATCCTAATAGATTACGTTGACCCAACTCAAGTAAATTAAGTTGGTAACAAACCTTATAAATAAGTAGTATCAATCCTAATAGATTACGTTGACCCAACCCAAGTAAATTAAGTTGGTAACAAACCTTATACATAAGTAGTATCAATCCTAATAGATTACGTTGACCCAACCCAAGTAAATCAAGTTGGTAACAAACCTTATAAATAAGTAGTATCAATCCTAATAGATTACATTGACCCAACCCAAGTAAATTAAGTTGGTAACAAACCTTATACATAAGTAGTATCAATCCTAATAGATTACGTTGACCCAACCCAAGTAAATCAAGTTGGTAACAAACCTTATACATAAGTAGTATCAATCCTAATAGATTACGTTGACCCAACTCAAGTAAATCAAGTTGGTAACAAACCTTATACATAAGTAGTATCAATCCTAATAGATTACGTTGACCCAACCCAAGTAAATTAAGTTGGTAACAAACCTTATAAATAAGTAGTATCAATCCTAATAGATTACGTTGACCCAACCCAAGTAAAGGAAGTTGGTAACAAACCTTATAAATAAGTAGTATCAATCCTAATAGATTACGTTGACCCAACTCAAGTAAATTAAGTTGGTAACAAACCTTATAAATAAGTAGTATCAATCCTAATAGATTACGTTGACCCAACCCAAGTAAATTAAGTTGGTAACAAACCTTATAAATAAGTAGTATCAATCCTAATAGATTACGTTGACCCAACCCAAGTAAATTAAGTTGGTAACAAACCTTATAAATAAGTAGTATCAATCCTAATAGATTACGTTGACCCAACCCAAGTAAATCAAGTTGGTAACAAACCTTATACATAAGTAGTATCAATCCTAATAGATTACGTTGACCCAACCCAAGTAAATTAAGTTGGACCAATCAAATTGCTTAATCTTGAAAGAAAGTGATTTAATCATGTGGAAATATTGTCCATGATTTAATTACGTTCATTCAAAGAGTTATTTCTTTGAGTGTATCAGCAGTTTTAGCATCACCAGCTGGTCCAAAACCGAAATATGGGAAGAGTTTCTCAGTGAAAGTGTCTCTGTGAGTGCAGATGAGTCATGTGTTCAGGGTCGTAGAAGCACACCTCCCCCCTGTCATAGTCCAGCTGGACTCTGATCCTCTGGAGATTCTTCTCTCTGACAGTCTCACCATCACCATTAGAGTATCCTCCATCGCCATGTGCTAAACACCAGATTCCATCTTCTGGTGAGACACCTGGTATCTCTCCCTTCCTGTCAGCTGACTCTTTAGTCAAACCTATAATCCACTCAGGATGATCTCCCACCTCCACCTCCCAGCTGTGTCTCCCTGAGCTGAAGCCCTCAGAGCCCAGAACATTATGATACTGAGTGAATCTCTCTGGATTATCAGGAAGCTGCTGATCGTTGTCTCCACGTCTCACACTGGTCAGATCATCAGACAGATAGAGCCAGCTGCTTGCAGTGTTTGGGTCCAGAAGGACAGGACTGAAGTGGACCTGGTCCTTCATCTTCTCCCAGACTCTGAAGGACAGGTTGCCCAGGTGTTTGGCCACATCTGTCAGCGCTCCTGAGAGCAGCTGTGGGTCTGCCAGTGAGCTCTGGACTCTGGCTCTGCTCTGAGTGGCTTTATAACTGCTGAGGAAGGGCACGTTGAGTTTCTGCAGCTCTTCTTCAACAGCAGAGATACTGTGTGACAGAGAGGAGATGTGCTCCTGAATGCTCTTCATCTCTCTGCTGATAGTCTTCCATTTCTGCTCCTCTTCCTCCCTCAGAGCTGCCAGTCTGGACTCCTCTTCCTCTTTCAGGAACTGATGGAGCTTGATGAACTCTGCTCTGATCTGCCTCTCTGTGGACAGCAGCTGCTTCTCGGACACTTGAATCACTTCCTTGTATGTTGTCTCCACTCCTTTGTATTTGTCCCTCTTGTCCTGCAGAGACTCTAAGTCAGATTTCAGCAGGTCCTTCAGCTCACTGACTGCTTGTTCTACAGGAACCACATTGTGACCCTGGTGGAGAGAAAAGTCACAGACAGGACACACAGCTCTCTCT